TCTAAGCCTGAGTCAAGGAATTCTGGCTTTCCTGTGTCTTTGGCCGGGAGTCCCAGCCAGGTTAAACCCACTCACCAAAGCAGTCTCCTGCAATTTTGCAAGGTGCTCTAACTTAAGTTCAGAAAAATTCACCCGTCAAGGTCACTGCCAGCAGGTGCACAGACTGATCTTACACAACCTTTGCTAACTCTGCCTTAATGTGAGATGAGAGGCAGCCTCTCCTCCTCACCCCTCGATGGCTCCTTAGGTTAGTGGTTGGTCCAGATGATCTTAAGGGTCTTTTCCAACCTAAATGATTCTGTTCTATCATTCTAATGAGTGGTGAGCAGCACAGGTTTTCTCATTGGGCGTGCATCTATTGCTTTGCTCTAACTAGAAAATTCCACCTTTTTCATTTTAAGAGAACAGCAGAAAACCAACGCCTCTATCACTGAAATGCTGGGATTTCAACCCCAAGCCCCAATTTAAGGTTGACATATGGGTGTTTCCCACAGCCCTCCACAAAGGGATGGTACGTTTGCCTTTAGGCCTCCCTCCAGGGTGCAGCCGGCCTTGCAGGGAGAGTCATTAGGTAAATGAGCCCCAGGTGTCCCACTTAGGGATAAAAGCTGGGACTGCTTGCAGGAAGGGGCAGTGTCTGTCTGTGAGGTGGATGCACTTTGCAGAGTTCCCTGTTGGGGAAAGACCTGCCTCCCTGGAACTGGGCTCCAGTCAGGTCTGGCCTTTGCAGACATGGGCTGTGTAGAGAATTGGTATGTGGCTTCCTTGGTCTTATGTATTTGGCTTGTTTGCTTCTGTCCCATCTATGGGAAACTGCCTTTCACCATTTATTCCACCCCTTGTTGGTCGTGCGGTGTCGCAGTTGGGGTCAGTGGGATTATGTATAATTATGTATAAACAGAGTGACTTGTTTGTATGCCCAGCGCTCACCCATGTACTGACCCTTTTGTATCAGGCACAATTTGGTTATTGGTTTGTCATTGTGATGGCTGTGTTCTTTATGCTAGGCCTAATAATTGGCAAAATATTCACATGAGCAAAAATCAGCCCCTTCAAGCATTTTTATTCTATATAGAAGAATACAGAAACCAGAGGTTTTTCTGCCAGATTTTGCAAGGAATTCCTCAGGGCAGCCTGTTTGGAGGTCTCCTCATGCCTGGCTGAGGACATTCATTCCACTATCTGCCCATCAACCTGCACTCGATAAATGCAGGTGTAGCCTGACTTCCCCCAGTTGCTCTGCATGAGAATTCTGATGAACTGAAATGTTTTTTGAGCATTGTTCTGCAAAGTAAACACAACAAAAAATGTCACTCCCGGAGCGTAAGGAGTGGCAGGAGGCCCCGTGTGTCTTCATCTGCTAGGCTGGGCCCTGCTCTGGCAGGCGCAGCTCCCGCCCAGGCCGAGCGAACAGCTTCTCTCTCCTTCCCTTCTCCCACCCAGGACCCCTGTGCCTCCGCAGAGCAAATGCTCCTGTGCATGGTCTGTGGCAGCACCCAGCAGCTCCTCCAGCTGCCTCCCCTGCAAAGCCCCGGCCCCAGGGATGCTGGCCACCCTGTAGCTGTGTGCGGGGCATCCCTGTGTCGCTGCCTGTTGGCTGTCACCCGCAACACTTGCGTTTCAGGGCACTGCTTGGTGCATGTGGGGTGGCGCGGCCATGGCTGGCTCTGCTAGAAGCAGCAGCAGGCATAGGCGGGGAGCTCTGGTAATTTTTCACAGCTCTGGGACCGACTGGCTGACTGACCTGGGTCTTGCTCTACTTTTGCTGCCCTTGCTGGGTGCTACTCAGCCCTCCAAACCCTGCCATGTCTCTCTCAGCCAGTCTTGGGCCGCTGCCCCGGGAGGGACCATCCACACTCCGTCTGCCACGGAACTGATGGTAAGCCCACCTTTGTGCCCTGACCTCTTGCCCGCACACAATTCCCGTACCTGCAGAAGGAAGGTCTGGGTCGGCTTGCTCTCTATGTCGTAGCTGAATGCCCCGAGCAGAGTTTCCTCTTCTTCCTCACCCACTCCCTTGGAGATAAAGCACAGGGGAGCAGGTCAGGCTTAACTCAGCCACCCATAGAAAACACGCCTGCCAGATCCGTGCCCACGACCCGCCCCCTCTCCCGCAGCTCTGGCACAGTCCGGTGCAGGATGCGGTGGAGCCGAGCTGTTGAGCCAGAACGCACTGAGCAAGCCTTAAGACGGGATGTCACCACCCTGCACATCCTCTGAGATGTCCCCTCTGGTCACAGCAGTGCTCGGGAGAGACCAGCACAAGAATCTCAGCAGATGTGCAGAGAGCAGCAAGTCCCCCTTACGGCTTTTCCCTGGCACCAGGTCCCAGCCCTGAGCCCTGAGCACCCCGAACAAGAGACTTACGAAGACCGTGAAATGTCGGGGGGCGCTGCTGATGTCCATGAGCACAGAGGCCTTCAAGGGGTGCTGCACCGTGATCGTGACTGGTCGGACTTGTGTGGGCAACCTAATGACCACTTGGCTCCGAGACGCTTGGACAGGCCAGCAGTAGCCCGGGGAAATGTCCGGCTGAAAGCAGAGGGAAATGGCAATGGTTGGTGAGGGTGCAACACAGCTGGCGCTGCTACCAGTGCAGTCAGCAGCGCTGGTGGTACAGTGCCCGTGGGCTGTATTTGGGCTCAAAAATGAGTGGTGTGCTGGGAAATGGCCAGAAGCGCCCAGACGTCTTCCCGGCCGGGGACAGAAGACTCGCTGAATTCCCCCGGAGAGGAAATTACCCATTGTGAAACACCTGATACCCTGCACCTGAGTCAGGCCTACGAAGAAGGCTCTCTCTTTGGCCAGCAGCTCTGCATCTTTCCCTACACACACCTCACCCCATCTACAAAGGAACCATCAGAGCTGGGGGCGGCAACTGGCGTCGCAAAGGAGAACGACAGAATCATAGAATCACTGACGTTGGAAAAGACCCCGAAGATCATCAGGACCAACCGTTAACCTCCCACTGCCAAGTGTACCAGTAAACCACGTCCCTAAGTGCCACACCGACAGGGCTTTTAAATATCTTCAGGGGTGGTGACACAACCACTTCCCTGGGCAGCCTGTTC